ACAACCACCAGAAGCGGTTATGTTTCGTATATCTCATTATAACTAAATTTTGTTAACCACCAGAAGTGGTATATGCCTATGACCATCAGAAGTGATAATTTAGATTTTCTATGGTTACAATTAAAAATAAGCTAGAGAAGTATTCTCTATATTGCATGAACGCCTCGATTTTCTCCTGAAGTAGTAAATATATAAAAAAGGTTAGAAGCATCATAGTTTGATTTGATTAATACGCGTTCAGATAATTATGTTCGATTTCCTGAAGGATGAGAATTTTTGATAAATATTAATCCATTCCGTGAAGTGAATGTGATAATATTAATAAAGCCGTAAATATGAATGCGCTTTTGATGTAAATATATTACAATCACATCCAGAAGAGTTAATATGATCGAGAGAATATGTACTCAATATTTCGTATTTTAAATTTACTCCTTAAAAAGTAATACAGTTGAAATTTTCTCCTGGAAAATATTATGAAGAAGTGTTTTCTTGTGCTTAAACAATTGTTTTATATTGTTTATTTGATCATAATTTTCTCTTATGATACCAAAAGTGTCTGAACAATATTTGATAGTACAAAATGAATCAACAACTCCTGAAGAACTAACTGTTTGTCTAGAAGACACATGACACCAGTAGTGTCTAATAAATATTAGATTGTGGATAATAAATGAAGGCTTTCAAAGAACTTATATACAAATAATATGTCATTTATATTATATGATTCTGGTCAAAACATATGTTGTAGTAAACCTATAGTTTACTTTGTAGTAAACCTATAGTTTACTAATATAAATGACTATCATATTGAGATTACAAATAACTGGAAGATTGAAAATCTTCATGTTTCCACAATCATAGAGGGCAAAATAATATGTATATGAGAAGTGACCCGCCTTATTCTTCAATTTTTATTATATCATGTATCACAGTAAACCAGAAGTTTACTAATGCAAAAACAGTCACAGTAAATCATAAATTTACCGATGCAAAAGTTTATGCCATAGTAAACCAGAAATTTACTTAGAGATAGCACATGCCATGATAAACTTGAAGTTTTTATTTGTCATTTTTAAATGAGCTATTTGAGAATTCAGATAAGTATATACTGAAGAACTAGAAGATTCTTCAAGAATTCTCTTGTGTTGTTTGTTCTCATAATAAATTGATTATACCAGCTAAAGTTGGGACTAAAACCCCTGAATTCTGGAATATACAAAAGGTGAATATGGGCCCATTCACTTATCATGTGAACCACTATAGATGCATATATGCGATGGTTACATATGTGTTTATTGTCAACCTGCAGTTTGGCATTTGAAATTACCTTTCTCAATTAAGAGCATAATTTTCATATTATGAAATCAAGATAGTTCATCTTGATGATGCTGGTTTATATCCAAGCTAGTTAAGCATTGAATACCTCCTATTAATGGCTAAACTATTGCTTATAAGAATAAAACCTCATGTGTTGGTCTAAGATTTTCTAAATTGCATACAGCAGCACTTGTATGCATCAGACCCGCAAAATATGCTAAGTCCTCCCCTCACAATTAGTTTAGGATAAAAAACTAAATATATTTACTATCTAATAACTTTTAATGTGTGGTATATGATTAATTTCTCTACCAGAATGCACAAAGATAGGTTTTCCAAAGAAGATTGGGGATATGAGTTAGTTTTTCTAACATTTGGGGGATGGAATAAACAACTGAAAAATATGCAATTTGAATCGAATTATCATTAATATGATCCTCACTTAGAACATAATTCAAGTCAAATGCCAGAAGCATTTGCTGATCTAAATTAAATATCATATTTTAGTTGCAAATGCTCCTATTAAAATTAAAGTCCCCGAAGGATAAAGTTTACTGCATGCATGAAACGTAGTAAAGCGATCGGTTCCAAAGATAACATTCCTTGAAAATGATATGAGCAAATGATCAAAATGATCATAATTAGAAGGAAATGAGCTCTAGAAGAGCCCACGACATAACATTTCATGGAACTCCAAAAGAAGTTCAGGTACTTGAAAATAAAGAAAGTGATGAGATCTCAACAAGTTATGTCACTTGTGAACCGATATAAAATGATCGTCGACGATATATTTGATACAATATAGTGCACAATATTGTGAGGATCAGACCTGTAGTCCAGACAACTGAGGATGTCATTCCATTTAGATGCAAGTCATAACCTATATGACTTATTTGATCAAATTTATATAAAGATCCCTGAAGGATTTAAAATGCTTGAAGCATATAATTCAAAGTCTTGAGAAATGTACTTAATCAGATTACAAAAATCTTTGTATGATTTAAAACAATCAGGGCGCATGTGGTATAATCGCCTCACTGAATTGATGAATGAAGGTTATATAAATGATGGATTTGTCCATGTGTTTTTACAAAGAAAACACTATCAGAGTTTATTATACTTGCTGTTTATGTTAATGACATAAATCTTATAGGAACTCCAGAGGAGCTCCAAAGGGAAAAACTTTGTCTTAGTTTGCAAATTGAATATTTAGCAGACGAGATATTTATCCATCAATCTGTCTATACAGAAAATATCTTAAAATGCTTTTACATGGACAAAACACACCCATTAAGTACACCAAATGGGTGTTCGATCACTTGAAGTAAATAAGGATCCGTTCTAACCTTCAGAAGAGGATGAGGAACTCCTTGGTCCTGAAATACTCTATCTTAGTGCAATTGGTGCACTTATGTATCTTGCTAATGCTAACAAATGTTATACAAATCATATTGGTTATGCAGATACAAGTTATTTATCTAATCATTGATCTCAAATCGGATATGTGTTTACATGTGGATGTATTGTCATATCATGGCACTTCACAAAGCAATCTATAGCTGCTACTTCTTCAAATCATGCTGAGATAATAGTTATTCATGAAGCAAGTAGGGAATGTGTATGATTGAGATCAGTGATTCATTTTATTCGAGAAAAATATGGGTTGGAATGTGATTAAACACAATATTATACGAAGACAATGTTGCATGCATAGCCCAATTAAAGGAAGGATTTATAAAAGGAGATAGAATAAAGTACATTTTATCAAAATTATTCTACACACATGATCTTCAGAAAAATGGTGATATCGATGTGCAACAGATCCCTTCAAGTGACAATCCAGTAGATTTGTCCACTAAATATTTGCCAACTTCAACTTTTGAGAAGATGGTATACAAGATTGGTATGCGGAGACTCAAATATTTGGAACAAGGATTTCATCAGGGGGAGTGAAATACTCTTTTTTCCTTACTAAGGTTTTTCCCATGGGATTTTTCTTGTAAAGTTTTTAATGAGGCGGCTAGAATTGCGTATTATATGTGTAATCTTTTTTCTTCACTAGAATTTTTTTCACTAGATTTTTCCTAGTAAGGTTTTAACGAGGCACAATATCTTTTAATGAACATCCAAGGGGGAGTGTTATGAAAATAATTATAATGTGGATGTCTATTTATTACTCCTCTATAGATAATCTTCCAGAAGAAGATTATCCGTTTGGTACTCTATTGAAGTTTATCTACAAACAGCTGATGCATGCAGGATGCAAGCAACTAAATGAAATGATTTGCAGCAGCTTCTTATTAAACAGACAGGTTGCAAGCAGCTCATGCAGACAGCTTACAAGCAGCTCAAGAAAAGCCTCGCAGCTGCTTCCTGAAAAGTCTCGCAGCTGCTTCCTTTCTTCTATAAATAAAGGAGTTTTCAGTTCATTATGTACATCAATTTAAAGTTGAATAATATATTAATCTTTCTCTATACTTGTCTTCAGTTTATTTACTTTATAGTCTTTATTTTATACGGCAAAGGGCCAAATATACCTCTTTACTTTTGAAAATTGTCTAAGAATACCTCTCGTTATACTATTGGGTTATCTATACCCCTGCAGTCATACTTTGGGTTCAAATATACCCCTTATTTAAACGGAGGGACACGTGTCATCGTCCTGTTGGTCAATTCTAAATATCTCCTAATTAATTAAAAAGACCCATTACTCATACCCGAAAAATAATTTTTTAAAGCAATTTTTTTTTTGTAAAAATTGAAAAAAAACTGAAATTATTTTTACTAAAAAAGATGGAATTTTTTCTTTTAGTATTTACAAAAAAAACTGCTTTAGAAATAACTAAAACATATTTTCTAAAACAATGTTTTTATAAAAAACTGGAAAAAAAAAGCTGAAAATCAATTTTCTAAAGCAATTTTTTTTGTAAAACCTGAAAAAAACTGATTTTGTTTTTTTTACTAAAAACTGAAAAAAAACGAAAATATTTTTTTTCTAGTTTTTACAAAAAAATTGCTTTAACAAAAGCTGAAAAATATTTTCTAAAATAATATTTTTATAAAAACTGAAAAACAAAAACAAAAAAGCAATTTTCTAAAGCAATATTTTTATAAAAACTGAAAAAACAAATATTTTTTTTTTCCAGTTTTTAGTTAAAAATATTTCAGTTTTTTCCAGTTTTTAATTGCTTTTCAGTTTTGTTTATCCGTTTTTACAAAAATATTATTTTAGAAATTTTTTTTCAGTTTTTTTAAAGCAATGTTTTTTGATATTTTTTTTCCAGTTTTTAGAAAAAAAACGTTTTTAGTTTTTTCTAGTTTTTACAAAAAAAAAATTATTTTTAGGGTATAAGTAATGGGTCATTTTAATTAATTAGGAGATATTTAGAATTGACCAACATGGCGATAACACGTGTCCCTCCGTTTAAATGAGGGGTATATTTAAACCCAAAGTATGACTGCAGGAGTATAGATAACCCAATAGTATAATGAAGGGTATTCTTAGACTATTTTCGAAAGTAGAGGGGGTACATTTGGCCCTTTGCCGTATTTTATAACATCTAATAGTTTTTTCGTTATTCTTTTGCAGGACAAAATCTTCAACTCTAATACCTACCGCCAGTAGAAGAACAACAGTGATAATACTCCTAACTAAGTTGTGCTAAACCTACTCAGCAGAATGTAAAAGCAGAGTACTCTTTATCATTTTGCCAGGTAGAAAGAACTGGATGATTTACAAGCATCAAATCTCTAGCTTTATAATAATCTCTCTATCCCTCTCCAATTTTTGCTACGCTGAATACATAATAGGAGAGAACCTGTGCAAAGGTCTTAACTAATACTTAAATTAACAACAAACCACATATCACTAATTGCTTGATACGGATAGAATAACATATTATAGAGGTTCTGAACAGCTGGTTCCGACTTTACAAAATAGGGGAAAGACCATTTTATGCCATTAGCACAATTTCGCCATGTGAGCCTGAGGATGCAAGAAAATAAGGATATAAATAAATGTCAAACAAGACAATTTAAAATACACCACATACAAACAAGACGATAGGAAGAAAACATACATCTGTCAAAAATATCCTTCGCCAACAGCAGTAAACTATCTTGGTCTTCAGCCATCTTCGAAACTCTCGCTTCTTCCTTAGCTGCTTCAGCTGCTACAAATGATTTATTGTCAGCTTCTGCAACCTTATAGACAGCAGTCTTTGCTGCTTCTTCAACAGTATCACCAAGATAGGTACTACTTGGAAACTGTCTTGGCCCAACATGTTTTTGTTTTGGGGTAGCTGTCTTTGTTCTTTCTAACACCTCTTTCTTAATCCTGTAGCAATTCTCAAACTGCAGTGGATTCCGCAAACCAAAATGCCAGAATTCAGAATTTTAATAGTCAGGTGAATATCAGAATGCAGTATTCGGTGGTTCAGCAAGTATACAACTAATTCCTTCACGCTCTTTAGCTTGTCTTTGATTCCAGTTTCAAAAATCCATAAATCATACAGATCATTATGTGGTAAAAGAGAGAGGCTGCTGAAAAGATGCACTTTACTGATGTAAAGCACCTAAGCCACATAATGATATATGAATGAGACACTGCACAACTTGGTTATGATGACCTTAATTGTGCCGCTACTCCAGCTTCAAACATCTGAAAACTGGTAATGAAACTTAGCATACTCATTCAAGCAAGCTATTAGCTTTATAAGGGTGTTCCGGAGTGTCGGTTCTACTTAGATGATTTTTTCTTATAGTTCTTCAAGAAAGTCGAAAAACAAGCACATGCAGCTTTATGTTTAAAAACCAGAGCAGTCTTCTGGCGCCAAAAGAAGTTACAAAAGAAAGTGTTACCAGTAACCCAACTGATAAATGAGAACAAAAACAAGGCGACCTTTTCAAGTTTGTCTTGTTGAACAAGCCTCCTCAGCCTAGAACTCAGCAGCCTTCTGAAGTTTTGGGGCACCTCATGCCTTTGCTGCAGTAGATACAAAAACAATAAGAAAGGTTCCCTTCAGTCAATTCTCGCATAGAGTATTATGCATTGAATTATGATCAACCAGCAAATACATTAATGAACTAACTATTTTATCAGATAATAAAAAACAACTATTAGAATTATTGAACCTCAAAATCTTGAATTCCATATGACATACTTCTGCAATCATTCTTCCATGTTGTGCAGCAGGTCTGCAACGATTTCTTGCTAGGCGGTGGGAGTAAGTTTTTAGTTCTCTTCACTAACCAATTTGAAATGAAATCTTTTGAAAAAAAGTTTTGTTCTGTTCATTAATTAAAGTTGAAATGGTTTCCTTTTTTTCCTGGAATGAATTCTAGCTCTCTTTGCCACAGAGAGAAAACCTGGATATCTTGAGGGATTGTAATTTTATCCTCTCTGTCTGTGTCATACTTATCTTTCAAGTATGACTAAGAAAACATGGAGATGTAAACAAGAAACACAAACACATATTCTTTAGGTCTTTATGTTGGACGACAGTAAAGGTCTTCATCTCATACATGGCTACGCCACATTATCATTTTAATGACCTTGGAACTGTAACTGCTTTATAGTTTGTAGAAAATCCTATTGTTATTATTGATAGCACTTTTATCTAGCTTCAGAAAACTTAAAATTCATTTCTGAATGGTCAAAATCACAGGGATTGCCTAATTCACAGTACTATTAGTAAAATATAACAGTTTATTTGAATGTCAAGGAGTAAGCAGAAGTATCAAATACCTCATGGATGGCTAGAAAAGTCAAAAGAGAAAACCAGAAAGTATAATGGTGCTGCTTTATACCTCAATGAAGTTAACAATTGTGCTTGTGTCTGATCCATTTGGCTCTTTTAGACTTGAAAGTGCATCATATATCATTTGATTGTACCTAAGAATAAGAATAAAGCAATAATATTATTTCAAGAAAACATGAACGGAATTACTAGGAACTATGAGAGAACAAAAACGAAAAATGGTAATGTACACAGACGGCTATCAAACACTGTTATATATTTTGTTCTTCCACCTATATTCAATTATTTGGTAGGAGATGCAAGCGGTTCTCTGCAGTAGATCCAGCTAAAATATTAAAATAATGAGCATTCATCACAACTAAATTAATATTTTATTTGAGATACCAGGAAATGATGAGTATTCATCAAGTACTGTGTTGCAGGAATTCTAATATGGTCAATTTGAGACATATGACTCTTTATTTAGACAGTAAACGGGCAAACAGTAAAATTACATCTTTGAGTCCTTACTACTATCCATGTTGGACCAGATTGTTTCACCCCATAATCAGTAGCTAAAAGATTACCATAACTATTGCTTATCTTTTTTCCAAATCAGTGTGATTTAACAATAAAAAAAGTTTGACCAAGATGAAATCATTATCTCAAAGAATATGGATTTGATTTAACATCTCGTTCTGTGAATTATTCAAGAATTTGAAAAGGAAATCCAGAAAGACAAACTTAGAAGTAGTTTTTCCGTCTAATGCGCATTTTGAAGAATCTTCCATGATGGTGTCTGCTGCTGCATCTTGTAGAACTGGAGTTGAGGAAACAGGGGCCTGTGTGATGAGCAATGGAGCTGCAGGAGCATCAGCCTTCACTTTTTGTGTCCTAGATTTATCTCTTGGTCCTTGTCCATTGGCACTAACATTCAAATTTCTCCATTTATCCTATATGAAATGTGATGCCAGAAGTTTAGAAGATAAAATGAAAAGAACAGTTCAATGCAAGAAAACCATAAGATTCGTATAGACATCCAAATCAGCTTCTTCGTTCCGCAAGCATTAAGAGGCAAGGGGATTCAAAACATTAGGCTAACAGATTACATCTACCGGAAAGCATTAGTATATTACATCAATGCTTAACTGTAAAATTGCAATCTTCACTGGACGTATGCTTATCTGTCATAAATAACTATTCTTTAAGGCCAGAAATCGCAAAACACACAGCTTGCAAGCAGGTGTTCAACCTAGGAACAAGCAAATATCTTCAAAAATTATCTGTATTAAATCTAGGTCGCTTGAAATGTAGCAAAATCACAACGACTTGGCAATGGTCAACAGACATTAGAACGCCGTACAGGAAGCTAAAGAAGGAGACAAGTTGCTGGCTAGATGATGTTGGAAGAAGGTTTCCTCTTGGTCAGTATCATAAACTTGTCCCCTTACCTATAGCTGCCAAAGTTGACTTGAAAAAATTTAGCTGCCAAATTTCCTTTTTTATCAGTAACTTAAAAAAATATAGCTGCCAAAGTTCATTCGTCCCTGTTGTAATCACTAACAATCTTTCATTACACATATCTACAATATCCTTTCATAGATCTAAGCTTCTATGGTAATAGGGTAATTCCTATCATATAGGTCATCGAAGTAATTTTTTGAAAACTAAACTTTCAGCACTTTGAAATATGCAGCACGATTGAATCCCCTACGTCTAAAAACTACACTGTACAAATAGGATAAAAACAAAACATTTTGTGTATATGTGAATTGTTGAAATCCCTTGATAGAAATGTGTATATTCATTCACTGTGCAAGTTTGCATTTTTTTGACTCCTTGTTAAAAATTTCTGGCTAATAATTGCAACTAGTTACAACATATCAACTTCATCTTCAGTTAATATAGACTTAAATTTGATCTTGACCTAAAAAACAATCTCATGTCTGCACTCCAACATTTTCCTCTAAATTCTAATACAGCAACACTAATGGAATACATTAAACGAATATCTCACTAATTACATGAAAACATATTCCTGCCAATATTCTCAGTAATCAAGCCGGCAACATAGATATGCTATGGCACATCCACTTCTATACCGTGACATGATTGTGTAAAAAAAAAAAGGCAGCCCGGTAGACTAAGCTACCGCTATGCGCGGGGTCCGGGGAAGGGGCGGACCACAAGGTCTGTCGTACGCGCCTTAACCTACATTTTTACAAGAGGCTATTTCCACAGCTCGAACACGTGACATGATTGTGTAAATATTTTATATACCGCTAGTGCATATAAATTAGAAGAATTAATCCAAATAGCCGCCCACCTGTTTAAACTAAAAATAATAGGTGAATATACATATATGTATAATTCATGTATAATATGTGTATAACCATGCATAATCAATGTATACCGTAAATATGACAGGCTATTTGGGTAAAGATCCCTATAAATTAAATTCTTTTTACAAAAGACAGGTCAAGTACAAAACTTTTCGTCTCCCCGATGTTAATTCAGAAGAAATTGGAAGGAAAAAAGGAAAACCTTAAGATCGATGTTGGAGCGAGAGTAAAGGAGGTGATTGAATTCAGGGTCTCTTTGAATATTCTTCCATTTGCCAGCTCCGTGCTTTGCGACGCCGGCACGAAGTGCTTCTTCTTCTTCAGATGTCCATTTTTGCTTTGGATTTCCCATCTCTTTTTCTCAATTTTATCTTTTACCAGCTGCTGCAGCTGCTTCTTAAACCCTCCTCTGAACTGATCCTCTGTTTGTTTTTTGTTTTTTTTAAAACGGCGTTTACTTCTTCGGTTGGGGTTTTTGTGTTTATTGATGTTTTGGCCCCTCAACTATTTATTTTGCAACTTGAACCTTGTTATTTTAATTGTTTTGGTTTTCCTAACCCAATAAGTTGGGAATTTCTTCAATTTATACATTTATACTGATATGCTTTGAATCTGGAACCCAAGAATCTCTTTTGTAAAAAATTGTACTATGCAAAAAGGTATAAATAATTTTTATGTATATTATTGGCATAAGGGAAGCTTTACTATAATAATAAAGAAAATTCAAAAATTACTTTAGGTTATAGGTTTAAATCTTAAACTTGAAACTTTACAATTTTTGAATTTTTACTACATACTTTGTTTCGCCACTGCTATAACCTCCGCCCACACCATCAAGATAATTTATTTCTTTAGTGATTATTTTTGGGAGCATTATTTTTTCTTTGTAAAAATAAGCCCGTTTATGTTTCGTAAAATCACCAAATAGAATGCAAGTATCCTGCAATATGAAGAAGGTTGAACTCCTTGAATATCAAATTTTATATAAGAAGATAAGAGTAATATCCTGAGAAAAAAAAATCATATAAATTACTAAAAATAAAAAAGCCTAACTTGATAAAATCCAAATAATAATAATTAAAAATAGATCGATAACAAGCAACTACAATAGTTTAAAGAATTGAAGATATGGACCTTAAGTATTTATATACGATGGGTATACCAACATATTTGGGAAAGTTTATTTGCCTAAGCATTTTTTCTTGCAAGAGAGATGCCCTAATATATATATATATATATATATNCGATGTCAAATTCAAAACCTATAAACTTCAAACTATGTTATTGTGTTGTCCACGTAGACTCATGGTTTAGTGGTCTATTTAACCTGTTATGCCCTTTAATTTTTAGTTTCTAGAACTAAAAGGGGATGTAAATAAACAGATGCTCTTAATTTAAAAGAATATCCCTAAAACAGAATCCAAACATATAAAAGGAAAACAAGTAGGAGATTCCTCAGTAATCAGACCCATAATTCACAAGCATCTATATTCACATTGTGCCCACATTTCTCAAAGAACGTGCTGGTCAATTGGTATTTTGGCTCTTTACAAATTTGTTTTTAATTTTATGATCTTATTTTTTGTTTTACACATGGGAGATTTATTTTTACACGTAAGAGATATGTCTTTTATACCTAAGAGATCTAAAAGGATTATTTTTTAAAATTCAAAATTATAAAGGGAATGATATACAAATAGCTCGTGTGTCCAAGTGAAACCAATTACTACCAAACCCAAAAACAATGAAAAAGAAATAAAAGACTGGGAGTTGGAATGTGACCAAATAATATTATATAAATATATAAATAGATAGATAGTCCGATGCACGAAACATTACACGTTCACACAGGTCTGGGTAAGGGTCATACCTCAAGGGGTATAATGTAGCGGTGACAGGTCTAGTGCATACTTTATGGGTTCCTCGGAACCCGATAACTTTTGTGCAGATAGTGTATTTCTAGTAAGAAGTCCACTAACTATCTATAAAAAAAATTACTAGAGCTCAATTACTATACTTGAAATCGATGTATGAACTCATAAAGTTTAAATCTTGGATTCGCTTCTGTAATGTATAGGCAGTTTACCCTGATACAATCATTAGTAACTGATTTCATGGCTTGAACCCGTAACTTATAGGTCACATGTAGACAACCTTACCGTTGTTTTGAAGGCTCTCCCCTTGAAGAGATATATATAAGTCGATATCAATTAAGGACCACTTGCTCTTAATTTAGACTAGTATATAAACCTAGTATTGTCCCCCTGGTAGACATGTATATATACCTTTGTGCCACATGCAAGTCATAGGCTTCAAATTCTCAAGTACTCTCTCTCTCTCTCTCTCTATATATATATATATCTTTTGAAGATGCCGAGAAATATTGTAACGATAAAGTGCACTTTTTAAATTATGGTCCTAAACTTTCTGTTATGTAAGTACTTTAATTCTTTAACTATTTGTTGAAATTAAAAGAAAAGTGAACTATGAAACGTACTTAATACATTCTTTACACTTTATTAGTTTGTGTTACATATTCCACTAAAGTCTTTTAATCATTCTTAATATAAAGACTAGTTTTAAGGGCATGCATTGTGGTCTCGTTAATTATTCCTTCCATTTCAATTTATGTATTTTACTTTTCTTTTTACTATGTTCTAAAAAGAATGTTAACATTTTCATTCTATCCTCAATAATGACACTCTCTTATAAGAGTATGAATTAACATGGCATATTATACAGTTATAGGGATGAATTTCGTTTTTAGCATATGTTTAAGTTTTACAATTCACTTTATCACAGAGTAACTATTCTCTTTTTAACTTTGATCTAAACAACATCAAATATTCTTTAAAATAAGTTAGAGAGCTCTTCTCTCTAGCATGACTTTTTCTCTTAGTTGCGACTGAACGATGAGGAAAACGAAGAACGAAAGGAGAGGGCAACCAGTTCAGGGGAGTAATCCCTGTAACAATCCAAGAAAAAGGAATGTTCTGCAATCAGCAGATGCAAAGAATACTAAGAACATCAATGTTATACAAGGAATTATTCCGCTAGGGTTAAGCCGCCCTCCTCGACGGCACCAACGATGATTCCAGCGATAAGTTCTCCAGTAAGAGTAGATTCAACTCCCACAACAATTGACCAGAGAAGACCGTCTTAGGCAGACATGGTGGAGGAAGAAAGTGCATGGGAAATTGGTACTAACCAAAACCCTAGGATCATAGAGAAATCCAAAGCTCACTCATGGAGTAAGATAGTAGGTCCCGTTCCGGAAGTTGAGGGATTATATCTGACTAGTGATGAAGCTAGTAAGAAGAATGTCAAAATAACAATGGAAGATATTGACGGTGAAATAGTTTACTGGAAGTCGGTTGTTATATGCTATGTATTAGGATCAAATCCTCCGCTACCGGTAATTGATGGCTACTTTAGAAGAATTTGGGAATCACTGGGTATAGATAAAGTTGCTCAAGTGAATAGAGGGGGTTTTCTGGTAAGATTTCATTCAGGAAAAAACAGAGTCAAAGCAGTAGAAGAAAGAGTCCAGATGTTCGATAAAAAATCAATGGTTGTAAAACCTTGGGAACCAGACATTGATGTAAGCAAAGAGCAAGTGGATAATATCCTTGTGTGGATTCGACTAAGGGGAATGGATATCAAATATTGGGGTAAAGCAGCACTGATTACAATTGTTGGAATGGTAGGCAAACCTCTCAAAGCAGATAAGGCAACAACTAACAAGGAGAGACTAGCATTTGTACGAGTTCTAGTGGAAATTTCACTTAGTCAGAAGTATCCAACCTCTGTTCTTTTTGAAAATGAATGGGAAAAATCATAGAACAGAATGTAGAGTATGAATGGAGGCCCATCTTATGCCCAGAGTGTAAAAACTTTGGACATGAACTACAAGACTGCAGGAAAATACAGAAAAAGGAGTTAACTAAGAAAAGAAAGCAAATAGAGGAGGTGCAACAAACAAATAATGCAGTACATAAAACACTACCACAAGGCCATCAGAAGAAGGGAGAAGAATTAGGGAGTAACCTTCAAGAAGCAAGCGCAAGTAAGGGTGGTAAAGGCAGAAAGGGACCTAGGAATGAAGATATCAATAGAACTATGGTGATCAGTACCAAGACTTGGTAGGGATGGGGCAAGCCCCCTCCTAATGGATAGGATAGGCTTTTCGAATGTAAAGGGTCTAAATAGGCTGGCAAAACAGAGGGAAGTTAATCTGTTTATGCACAATTGTAGGGTAGGCCTATTTGGACTCCTAGAGACTAAGATTAAGAGAGCTAGAGTACATAAAGCTACTCTTAATCTTTGTAATATGTGAGTTTTTACAACAAATCTAGCACAACATAAAGGAGGTAGGATCCAGGTGGTGTGGAAACCAACTATATATGATGTTAGTATAGTTAAAACAATTGATCAGTGCATTCATTGTATAGTCAAATATAGAGGGACTAGTAAGCAATACTGCCTCACAATAGTATATGCCTACAATGACATGGCATTGAGAAGGGTATTGTGGAGGGATCTGGAGGACCTATTAACTCAAATACAAGGTTCATGGGCAGTCTTGAGAGACTTTAATAGTGTACTGAATAGAGAGGAAAGAGTTGGCAGCCCTGTGATAATGACAGAAATGAAGGACTTCAGAAAATGCATGGAATCCTATGGCCTTCAAGAGTTGAGATCCATTGGGGCTTTCTACACATGGAACAATAAACACAGTGGTGCAAACAGAGTTATGAGTAGGATTGACATGGTTATGGTTAATATGGATTAGATGATTGATCTACGAGCCTCAGAAGTAAACTTTATGAGTGGAGGATTGCATGACCACCACCCTACAGTGGAGCACTGGGAGGATGGAAACACAAGCACCAGGAGGCTATTCAAATACTTCAATATGTGGAAAACAACACTAGATTTTCAAAGCAAAGTTAAAAGAAGGTGGGAGAAAAGAAGTACAGGAACAAAGATGTACCAATTGGTGGGGAAACTCAATAGATTGAAAAGAGTTCTAAAGGAGCTAAATAGATCTTTCTTTAATGAAGTAGTACTTAACCCAGAACAAGCTAAAGAACAACTATTGGATTGCCAGAAAAAGATCCAACTTGAACCTATGAACACAACACTGATACGAGAGGCGAAGGAGTTGTCAATGACTTATCACAGGAAGCGGCTAACGAGTGAGTCATATCTTAGACATAAGACAAAGGTGCAATGGGTGACTCAAGGTGATAAACACAAAGGTGTTTCATAGCTTTATGAAAGCAAGAATGAATGAAAACAAGATATTCTATATACGGGAAGATGGGGGCTAAACAATAACTAATATAGAAGGAATTGCTCGAGCATTTGTAGGATTCTATACAGAATTGTTGGGGACAAAAAAGATAACAAATCACATGTATGAACCAATCTAGTTAGAGCATGCCCAACTATGAATGAGGAACAATGGATAATGCTAGAAGCAGATTTCACAAATGCAGAGGTAAAACAAGCATTATGGGACATTGATGGAGAAAAAGCACTAGAGCCAGATGGATATGGGAGCAACTTCTTCAAAGATTGTTGGGGCACTGTAGGGAAGAATCTAACATATGGTGTATTAGAGTTCTTTGCTACAAGGAAGATGTTGAAGGAACTTAATAGCACAACAGTCATTCCAAAAGAAAAACATGCAGACAAAGTGGGAGATTATCGACCAATTGAATGCTACAACACAATGTACAAAGTCATATAAAAAATGTTGTGTAATAGGCTCAAGCAAATACTACCATACATAATCTCGGAGAACCAAAGTACCTTTGTAACAAGTAGAACTATTGTGCAAAACATACTTATATGTGAGGACCTAGTGAGGCTATACAATAGAAAGAATATGACAAAGAGCTACCTAATAAAAATTATCACGACCCCAATTTTCCTCTGCAGTATGTCGTGATGGAACCTAGTCTCTAAGACCAGGTAAGCTTATCAATTATGCGGAATACAAAACTGAAACTCAAATCTCAATATATAAAATAAATCAAATCGCGATTCAAACTCTCAAAACCCGGTAGAAATAGGTCACAAGCTTCTAAGAGAAATACTAAGTGTCTCTAAACATCATAATCTAGTGAAGATAAGGAAAACAACATAATAAAGATAAATGAGGACTCCGAGGTCTGCGGACGCTGGTAGATGTACCTTAAATTCTCCGCGTACTGACTAGCTCACTGATACATGGTCTGATGGGAAGTACCTGGATCTGCACAAAAAGATGTGCATAAGCGTAGTATGAGTACGCCACAGCGGTACCCAGTAAGTGCCAAACCTAACCTCGGTTGAGTAGTGACGAGGTCATGTCAGGCCCTACTGGAAGTAATAAAAGACAGGGTAAAAGTTTAATCAATATTATAATAATAATAATAATAATAATAATAATAATAATAATAATAATAATAATAATAATAATAATAATGACAATGAGAATAATTCAAGTAAGTAGTATGTCACAATTCAACTATATAGAATAAGGGCAAATAATACCTCACAGAAGAAAAACAAGAATTTATAAATTTAAAGAAAAACACAAGTAACCAAAATCAAGTGCAACCACAGAGAAATATCTACAAGGGCAATCCCGAGGTACCGCCTCGTAGTCCCAAATTATAAATAAATTCACAATATCTTATTTCCTTATATCACCGCGGGAGCCTTCACATTTAATTTTAAAGAAAATATTTTTTCCGAAATAGCATCCCACGTGTTAGCCACCCTTATCACACCGCATGACTTTTAGTAGTTCCCCTACTAACCACGCGTATCAAGCCACCCTTATCTCACCGCATGCGTTTCAACACATAGACCTTATACCACAACATGCATATCAATATCACAATTTGCACGTCAAGTGCCCAATTATTTCAACCTGCCAAAATAAATGAACAACAACATTATTTCCACAATAAGGAGCTCACGACTCAATCACAATATATACAAAATCTCACAACATATTCGGAAGTGAATAACTCAACAAAAATAATATTTCACAAATTTAAAACCTTGCCTCAATACCAAATTTTTAATGTCAAATACTTCATATTAATAATAATTAATTAAGAAATTCAACTTTCAAATGATGAGCACGGAATAAAAGAAATAAAATTTCAACTAAACAAGTAAAGCAATTTGCAGGAAAAATGTGAGGCAAATTTAAAATATAAAAAAATAGATCAATGATGATGAATATAACCGGATAAAATAATTTAATTAACGTGTAATAGATATATACCCCATTTAAAATCAGAATTTTCTATATTTAGCCTGTGTACACACTCGTCACCCTGCGTATACGACTTTCAACACATCATAATTATCATATCAATACCAATCCTAAGGGGAATTTCCCCCACACAAGGTTAGACAAGTCACTTACCTCGAACCGGGTATTTCCTTACTCTGCTATGCCTTTGCCTCGCGAATTAGCCTCCGAAAGCCATGTATCTAGTCACAATTAATTCGATTCAATCAATACAAATTATTGGAATTTATTCCATATAAAAATATTAATTTTACAACAAAAATCCGAAATTTAACTCAAATATTTCCAGTGGGACCCACGTCTTGAAACCCGACAAAAGTTATAAAATATGAACGTCCATTCAACCACGAGTCCAACCATATAATTTTTATCAAATTCCGACATCAACTCGACCTCCAAATCTCAAATTCTTATTTTGAAATCCCTAGGCCCAAATCCTCTAATTTCACCTCAAAAATATGTAATTTAGTCGAAATACTCAATGATAATCCAATATTATTGACTAAAAATGATCACAAGTGACTTACATCAAGTTTCCCCGTGAATTCTCTCATAAACAATCGCTCAAAACCGTGTTGGAAATGTCCAAAAATGGCAGAAGCTCGAAACCCCTCTGATTTTGTACACTGCCAGAGGTTCTGCTTCTGCGGAAACTTAACCGCTTCTGCGGTCTCGCAGATGCGAGGTCCCGCCTGCTTCTGTGGTTTCGTTCGCTTCTGTGGACAAGAGGTCCGCTTCTATGGTCTCCAGTTACACCTCTTCACTCCGCATCTGCGGAGCATGACTCGCACCTGCGGGCTCGCAGATGCAGAGATCTTCACGCACCTGCGACCTAGCCCCAGGCCAAGCCCCTTTTCGCTTTTGCGCCTTGCCAGCCGCACCTGCATGAATAGTTCCGCAGGTGCGATTGCACGAGAATGCAGAAAACTCCAGCATTGTTCTAAGTCCAAATTTGATCCTTTAACCATCCGAAACTCATTCGAGGCCCCCGAGATCTCAACCAAATACACCAATCAGTCCTAAAATATCGTACGAACTTAGTCGAAACTTCAAATTACATCAAACAACGCTAAAACCACGAATCATACTCAAATTCAAGCTTAATGAAACTAAGAAATTCCAACTTCTACATTCGATGCCGAAACCTATCAAATCAAGTCCGATTGACCTCAAATTTTGCACACAAGTCATAAATGACATAATAGACCTATTCAAATTTCCAGAATTGGATTCCGACCCCGACATCAAAAAGTCAACTCCCCGGTCAAACTTTTAAACTTAAACTTTTATTTTAGCCATTTCAAGCTTAATTTAACTTCGGACTTCCAAAAATATTTCCAGACACGCTCCTAAGTCCAAAATCAGCATACGGAGCTATTGAAATCATCAAAATTCTATTTCGGGGTCGTTTACACATAAGTCAATATCCGGTCAACCTTTTCAACTTAAGTCTTTAACTTAGGAACTATGTGTCCCATTTAACTCTGAATCCAAAAACCAAACACCCTGGCAAGTTACAGCAC